GTTGAGTGAGATTGTCTTTCAATGCATGGGAAGCAAAGAATCTGATTGGTGGTCGGAAATATGTTGTTGTCATGACAGTTATAAGGCATGTCACCTAGAGAGCGCTGCAGTCACAGAATTTACGGTCATTTTGCATTAACATTAAATTTGTACTTTTTTTGAATCCCAAACCCTCGGCTATAAACCAAACAAATGTCAAATACTGAAAAAATTCCTCGGCTTATAGGTGAAGAAATCAGTAATTATCCTCTGTTTAATTGGTTTTGGAAAATTATTATCTTACCAAGACAATGAATAACTTAATAATATGCATTTTAAATGAAAGGTCCTGTCTAAGTTTAATTTTTATTGTGCAATAAAAGGAAAGGAGTGTTAAATTTCCCAAAAATACAGGTTAAAAAAATTACAATTTCTTTGCTTTAAAGAATTAGCAGTATTGAATTGAAAAGGATGTTTATTTCAAGGATTTTGCTGTAACATAAATTTACAACCAAAGAATGACTGCATAACCAACACAACTTCATAGTTTGGATTTTGTGATGCTTCTGTTTGTTCACTGTGTACAGTTTAAGCTTGCTTGTGAAAGCTAGCAAGGTTTGATAATTTTTTACATTTGCTTTTTAAATTTGAGAAGGAATCAGTGAAAACTCTCAGGTAAGCAGAGGTGATGCAAATAATTTAGGTGAAAGGAAAATGATGTACAGTGGTGTTGGATCAACAACTTGATGGAAGTTAAACTTTTGTACATTCTTAAGACTGTTGTCTCTTTATTCATGATATTATACAGTGAAATCTGAAATTTTATGAATTTAGAGTGAAGTTCGCAAAATGGAAAAAACTAACTTTTGAAATTTCTGCCAGTAAACTTAAGTGTAATATGGTGATAATCATCTTCACAGAAATTATTTTAGTGAAATTATTTTATTTGAAATATTACCTGCTTTGGTTGATACCATAAATTCACAATGGTCCTGTGTTGTGGAAAATGACATAATTACAATTTCTGATATGCACTAACTCAATAACATTCTTTGAGTAGGAAGAAAAAATTTCTCATATATAATAGAAACAAACAGATTTTCAAAATACACTTGAAGATTAAAGGATATCGAGATGAAATTTTGGACAGATATATCTCTGAGGCTAATATTACTGGGAGGGAAAGGTCACTCAAAAACAAAGAAAATAGCACTCTAAAGAAAATATTGCCCTTTGGAACACAATATCTTTTGGCTCTGCCTAACTTCAAGAACACAGTGATGGAGAATTGGAATCTTATTCAAAACCATCTACACTCAAGAGTAGTATTTAAAAGCCAACCCAGTATGATGTTGAAAAGGAAGGTCATTGAAAGATATCCTGGTTAGAACTAATCAACAAAGGCAAAAGATTTAAAATTTCTTGGAAATGGCAGGTGTCATGCTGGCCCATCAACAAATCTTGAAAGAAATCAACCTATTTTCTTACTGGGTTTGTTCACTTCAAGGTAGTTGTCCTCCAAATACATTTCCTTGGTTTTGGTGCAACTGTTTTTTTCACTAAATTAAGTGGAATTGGTTCCCGGGATGATGTCATGAGCCAACCAATCCCATTAACCCTATTTTTTGGTCAAGAACATGGAGGAAGCCAATTTTGGGATCTTTGAAATTCATTAAAAAAAAATCAGTGAAATAGATGTCACAGCAATTCTTTTTTAATTTGGTATCAGTAAAACAAGGAGATTTATATTGTTGAAAAGAATTCCTGGGGGTTAGAGGCACTTTAAAACCAATGCTATAATTGGAATAGTTTGAGATATCTAAAAAAACATCAGTTTCAAGGATGTGGAAAGATCCTTTCAGTAGAAGTTTTACATGGGTACAATTTTATCTGCTTGTTAATTCCTATTTAGCTCTTTTCTTTATTAGTTCATGGTTAGGGTTTAGGTCTAGGGCTTATTTAATTAGGTTTATTGAGATGTGACTTTTATGAACCTTCTATAATCAGATATTTTGTTTTTATTTGGAATTTGTTTTACACATACTAGATTTTACCAGCCATTCAAGAAAAAGAAAGGAAGTATTAAGGTAAGAGTAATTTTCAACCCAAAACCTCTTCAGAAATTATTTCTTCACCTAGAATACACAATCATAAATAATAATATCTGAAATGGTGTGAATTCTGAAGTAAAGCCACAACTAAATGATTGAACTTTTTGTCAAAAGTAGTATGTGTTGCACAGAGCATAAGGTGACAAAAAGAGCAAACTGTGTGGAAACAACAGACTTAGCTAAAATGGCTGGAATTAAAATATTTTGTTTTGTTTGTTTTTGTTGTTTTTTTCTTTACCTTACCTGTGATTTCAATACCAATTACCATCTGGATTGTGTTCTTTTAGTGATGATGAAGATATGGTGGTTAAGAATCCTAGTAAAAAATGCAAGAAATCCTGTGAGGCAGTAGAAAATCCAGAAAGAGTAGCCAGGACTGTCTTTGTGGGAAACCTTCCTGTGACATTATCAAGAAAGGTCAGTACCAATATATAATCAGAAGTACGGCCTTTTATTAAAAATCCAGAAATTGTCACCTAACAGGATTTTCATTAAGTGCTGATTATCTCCTAAAAATCTGGGTACCTTGATTCTGAGCTGCCTCCTTTTTCTAAGATAAAGTGTGTTAGTTGAGAACACTTAACTTTGATAAAAATTAATACAAGTCACTGCGACATAAAATTTATGGACCCACAACTTTCTTTAAAGCCATTTTTGCATTCCACCAAGACATGTGCTGTTACCTTTTCCCACCAGTTGAGCATTTTTCTAACCTCTACCTGGCGCATGTTTACCAAGCCAACTGACTGCCATACTGCTTTGCATCCACCTCCAAAAGAATTAATTAAAAAGCATTTGAGAGCCTCCATCTTGTGGGAGAGCATTCCCTTACATGTAGCCATGGGGAAGAAGGTCTAAAATTGTTGGCCAATTACTCCATGTAATAGGCCTTCTACTTGATAACTTATTGAGAACCTTGTGAAAGGTTTGGGTACCAACAGTGTGAAACTTAATTGGTAGAATATGGTTTATTGACACTGAGCAAGCTGATGTTTGGTTTCCAGGAAAATCACTTCCTAGATCAAGGAAGTATCAATTCCCACACACTGTATGTGACTTGTTGCAAGCATAGATAAAAAGTTGGAAAGAACTGCTGTGAACTGTTGTCAAAATTTGTAAACTCAGTTAGTCAGGGATATTTTACATTTGCTAGAGAAAAGTAAGGGCTATGGCTTTGGCAACCACAAGAGATGTTCACTTTTAAATTTTTTTTTTAAGAAACTGAAACAGATGTTTGCCATTTATGGTGAAGTGGAGAGTGTTCGATTTCGCTCAGCGGTAGGTGCTTTCTAGTATTTGTGGAATAAATAAATATTCTTTAACACAATGTATAGAACAGAGAGTGTAGAGAACAGAAGATGTACAAGAACATATCTTCCATATTTCTGACAATATATTTTGAATATTTTTTATTCCCATTTTATGCCCTAGTTGATCAAACCAAGTCAAAATGACTATGACAGCAGTCACTTGACTCTGTTTTTCCAGCAGCAGGACTGTTCTCTAAAATTAACACAAAATTTTGTGGAGAACTTCAATAGATGTTTTGTTTAAGAAAACAAGATAACCACCATGATTTAAGAACTTCACCAATTCTCACTAATCACGACATTCATGACTAAAAGCAAGCTGTAGGGGCACTTGTACTTGGGGCACTTTGAGGTTTTTAAGCTATAGTTTATTTTAAATTTATTTGAATCACTAAGTGATCAAACTTAGGAGGTAGGTATTTTTTTAACCCTTTAACTCCCAAGATCTGATTGTTAATTCTACCTTCTAGCTGCTACACATTTCCTTATTAATTAATTATGAGAATTTGGTGTTTGATCAAGATAACAACTTCTACCTGATGAGTTTGAGTATTCTTGTTACCTATTTGTGGGGTAATGTATGGATATTATAGGGAGAAGTTACACATCAATCACTTCTGGGAGTTAAAGGGTTTTAATAGGCTCTGACAGTTGGGTTAGGGTTAGAGTTTCTCTACTGTAGTGCACAAGAGTTGGGCTGGACCAATGGAGTGAGACATAATCATTGAGTGGAACTGGTTTAATTTCATTTGTTTGCATCCCTGACATGCTGATATATGTGAAGCTGGTCATCCTTGAAATTTTATTCTACAAATTAAAAGAATAAATGCCAAAAATTATTGAACAGGTTTCCAACACCAATAAGATAATGGAATTTAATTGATGGGTTGAATAATTAATGAGCCTTGTCTCCTTTCCAGTTTTCTGTTGCACTAGTATTTTCTGCAATTGAACACAGCAATTGGTCACCATTTTTCATTTGATTTATTTTCTGCTGCTTAAATTTGTTGTTGTTGTTGTTTTTTGTCTGAAAAACCCTTACAAACCAGGATTTAAACATTATATTTTATTGCCATTGTTTGTTCCATCAAATTGCAGAGTATTTGTTTCAATAGGCAAATAATATTGTGGAATAGCTGATAAGGAAATCTTCTCCTCCACTGGCATGTTTACTTGTCTTTGCTTATATGGTCCAACAATACTTTTGACTGTATTGACATATTCAGGAAGAAACGATTTATTTTCACAGTTTGTTGCCTTATTAAGTGTAACCCTTAATTCAGAAGAATAAAATATTCATCCTAGACAGTTGTTAATAATTAATGAGCTAAGAGTATATTTCAGGTTTTGAGTGAGTAATGTTTTGACAACCTGGCAGTTTTTCAGTAATTGCTGGACAAAAACTGATAAGCTAATACACAAGTTTGTGGGCAGTATTGTCAGAAACATGGAAGATCCTCATGAACAGAACAAGGGAATTTTGAAAGCATTAGAAACTGTTGCAAAGAAAGGTCTTGATTCATTGGATTTGAACATAAATGGCATTCAAAAAATTCCGAGAGGATTAGGTGAACTCAATCTTTCTCATCTGAAATATTTTTATCTACAAGGTAATAGCATTTCCTTCTTACCAGATGAGTTTTTTCCCAGTCTTCAAAATCTGGTGTGGCTTGATCTGAGAGACAACAAACTTCATGAAATTCCACAGAACATTGGAGAGCACAGGAATATAAAGACATTGTTGTTAGGGAGAAATCAGCTCAAATTTCTCCCATTGGAGTTAGGAGTCATTAGGACACTAACAGGGCTAAATTTATCAAATAACCCTCTCAAGGAGCCTCCACATAGTGTGGTTGAAAGGGGAGTTCATGCCATTAAGCACTATCTACTGATTAAGCTTGGGGTGAATCCAGAAAACTTTAAATATGATGCAACTGAATCAAAATACCACAGGACAGAGAGTGGATCAGATAGCTCACATACAGTAAATGTGGAAAAGAAAAATAACTGCAGGGATGGCATAGATATCTTACAGATGGCAGATGGTAGCATTCTTGATAATAGTAATCAGGGTACATCAAAGGTAGTTTGCCCAAGGGAAGCCATGGCCTATTATGGGGCACTGCTTGGCAACATTCCAAAATCCTACATCTTTAAACCATGGAAGACAGGAGTCTTTTTCAAAAAAGAAGAGATGGGGATTGATCCCTCACTGAAAAATTGTGACAAAGACAACAATGAAAAACAGTGACTCATTTAAATGGTTATTGACCTTATGGAAGACAGACTTACCATGTAATGTGTGTCAACATGGTGCAATGTTCAAAACCCTTTGTGACAAAAATTTATAAAAGTAGGAACTGGTTTGGGTTTTGGCAAGTGCAGTCAAAACTGTCACTAGCTGTGAAGTCAAAAAAGGGTAGACTAAAGTTGTGTTTTTTATTATATTACTGAATGTAAATCAACTGATCTAGAAAATCACATGAATCAAAAAATAAAAAAAAAATAGTGTAGTATGACTGCTCATGTCACTTGTCAAGTGACTGGAAGTGGCTGTAGGTCACCTTGCTGGAGATGATCAGCACTGGCTCGTCAGCTGCTTAACACAAATGGTGGTCTTAAGCATTAGACACTGCAGCCTGATTGATGTAAAAAATGTTAAACAACCTTATTTACCTTACCTCTCTATGGCCAAGTTGAGATTTCCTCTATAAATGGTACTTGGGCAGTAAATTAGCCAGTCATATTACTAGGCTGTTAGGCTTTGCAGTCCTACATCTTTAAACCATGGAAGACAGGAGTCTTTTCAAAAAAGGAGAGATGGGGATTGATCCCTCGCTGATAAATTGTGACAAAGACAACAATGAAAAACAATGACTCATTTACGTGGTTATTGTCTAATTTTGTGCATGACTGTGAAAGACTACTAAACAACATCAAGTAAAATATTTTCATTTTAATTCTTGAGTTATTTGTCAGTCCTGATGGCTTCTGGGAGATTGTCCAGAGCTTTAAACTTGCAGCTTGAAATGCTCAATGTCCTAAAGTGTATTTGCTCTGAGCACAAGGGAAGTTGTGATTGCAAATGTCATACTTTGATTTTTGTCTACAATTTTAAATTGGTTAAATATTTTCTTCATTTAGATGTTAATAGTAACTCATTAAGTAAGCATGAAATTTGTGGGTGTAATAGGTATGATGGCCAAGAAATGAAGCCCTGTAATGAGTCATATCATAGCATTCTGAACCCTCTCTCTTTGCAGTTTACTGTTTTTTTGTTCACACCTGTCATATCACAGTACAAATTGTTATGAAAAGTACTCTAATTTGCTTCTGATTAAATAATTTTACTTTTGATGCAAATCAAACCAAGCACTCTTTTCTCATACTCATGTTAATTGCCAAAGATGAAAAATTCAATAGTTTTTGATGAATAAAGGTTCATAATAAATCATCCAGTATTGAATGTCTTTGATGCATGTTCTCAAGACAACAGTTCCTAATATCTCATCCATGTGCATGTTTTTGGGCTAATTTTGTGTTGGGAAGGACTTGAGGAAGATAGTTTGCAATGACATTGAAGGGAATCCTACAGCAAACAAGACAAAGAAAGTGACCAAGGCAACCGAGAGAGATATATGCAAACTAATGCTTTAGAGCTGATTCACACGTGCAAACCTCTAGAAACCTTGTTTCTAAGAAGCATTTCAGTCTCTCCTAAGAAAGAGATGTTAACAGAAACTCCATGATCAAACATGTATATCCTTTTGCAATGTGCTCGAATTTCTTATCGGAGAGCAACTTTGTTTGTCATAAGTACAATTATGAATTAAAGCTTCATGTACATTCTGTACCTTATTAATTGTGCTTCTTTTTTGCAGGCACTTGCCAAACCAGGTCTATCAAGAAAAGTGGCGATGAAAAAGTAATGTTACAAACATGTGTTTAGCGGTATCCGGTTAGATCGCTCCATGGTTAGATCGCTCCAAGTCAGATCGCTCCATACGGAAGTCAGATCGCTCCACTCAAAAGTTAGTTCGCTCCATCAAATAAGTTACTTCGCTCCATACATAAGTTACTTCGCTCCTTCCACGTTAGTTTTCTTCATGGAGCGAAGTAACTTATGTATGGAGCGAAGTAACTTATATGATGGAGCGAACTAACTTTCGAGTGGAGCGATCTGACTTCGGTATGGAGCGATCTGACTTGGAGCGATCTAACCATGGAGCGATCTAACCGTAAACCGTGTTTAGCACCTGTTTCAAATTAGTCATTTTAGGTGGTATATTGTTTCATCTGTCCCTTTAATTTTGTGTGGCAGTATTTAAAAAAATCTCAAGGAGAAAAATGGCCCATTATTAAAAGGTGAATCATCATGACTTGTATTGGCCTTAAAATGCTTGCAGCAAATTGATTACACTGTCAGTAAATATTGATTAAAGTACAAAATTGGAAATCTGTCCTCAATAACCTCAGTAACAGTACAAGGCAAATATGCAAACTGAGTTCTGCAGAGTGCATGCATTTAATGATCCAATCTTTGATATGTTTCTGCACTTTAGGCTTGACTTCGTAAGGTAGTTAGACACAGTTTTTCAGTTATTTCCTTATATTTTCAGCTTGGATTTATGGCTCACATGCTTTTAACTCAAGCTATAAATCCAAGCTGGAAAAACTTGGTCCATAACTTACAGTTTGGACCTCAAACTTGGTTAGTAAGAGGTAAATATTTGAAAATGTTGCCATGTATATCAAATTTATATGACTCAATACAAATGCAAAACAGTTGTTAGTCTTCTGATTGTCTCCTCTGGAGGAGAAATATAATAGAAACATTTGCCTTACCCTGTTGTGTTATTTTGAAGTATAGCAACTAAAGGTTGTTATTACATATGTTTTGTAGCATCAATTGTGCACTACCTAATGAAGCGTTCTTTTTTCTTTTACAGAAGAGAGTTTCATTCAGATCGACACAATATCAATGCCTATGTTGTATTCAAAGAGAGGAAGAGTGCACTCAAATCTTTAAGCAGGTGTTGATTGAAGTTTTTAACTTAACTTTCTCCATCTGTTGTATAATTCTTCAATTTTTTAATTAATAATATCTCATACATGTTTAATGAAATTGAGCAGATAGTATATCACCTGTTAGGTAAGGAATGATGAAGTTGTCTAACAAAACTTGATGTACCAAATTTGCCAACAGTAATGGTTTGGAAGTTGGTGGTTTTCACATCAGAGTTGATATAACTGGAAAAGATATTGAGGTATGGTAGAACTATTGCTTATTACCACTTTGTATTTGTCCAATAGATATAATTCTATTCATTATAATCACTGATAATTGTATACCATACTATAGCATGCTCCTACCCACTAGGAGGGCTAAGTTTTTGAAGGAAGACATAAGTTGTAGTCATAAAATGGAATATTAAATCAAATGTAACCTTGGAAAGAATGATCACCTAAAGCAAACACCAGTGGATAGAATGGTAACCCTATGCCAATTTTTTAACTTTATATACATTCTCTTTTTCTTTTTGGTGTCAGCATGATCACACCAGATCAATATTTGTTGGAAATTTACCTTTTGGTGAGTCATCAAAGTCAAGTTATCTTTTTTGGTCAAAGCTCAATATCAAATACTTGTGTGACATTTAAGTTGCAACTTATCACAGATACTACATAGTATTTAGGTTTAATCTATTAATTAGAGAGATATTAGTTTATTTAATCTCTGCCTGGGAAATAAATGCAGTTTGTTCCTAGAACAGGGAAGGCTTTCTAATTTCAAAATGTTTAGACTCCATATAGTGTACATTTATTCGGTGTGCTCTCCCTTTTTCAACACTTTTTTATTTTCTTCCTCCTAACAGTGACACCAGAGGGCCATTTTGTTTAAAATATGAGAAATAATCCCAGGGTTTAGTGTTTCATGTTGATATGTAGTAGCATTTTAAAATGGTATAAAAGTTTTTGTTGAGGCCTTAAGCCACTAGGAAGAATAAATAAAATTAAAAACAAGTCTGAGCTGTAGTTGATCCATGGCTTCACCTGGGTTTATGTCATGTTTTGATTTGGTTCTGTTCACTGTCCTTTTCTTTTCCCTTCTTTTTCATTTTCCTGACACTGAGATAAGATCACAATCCAATACACATTTAAAAAATTAACTGCAATGCAAGTTACAACCCCCCCCCCCCAATGCAGTGTTGTACATTCTAAGAAAATCAAGTGCCACATTATTCAGGGGAAGAACAGGTGGGAGTTCAAAGATTTTGTTGCTGATTGTTGCTTAGCAATTTGCGTCACCCATAACAAATCAAAGCCAACTTACCTTGGATTTAGCACTGACTGCTTTTCAAACAACTAGCCTATAGTTACCTTGCCAGAGTCATGTTTCTATTTTTTCAATTTTATTATTATTATTATTATTATTATTATAGTTATTTTAATGATCATCATTATGATTATCATCACAAGTATTATTAATATTACCATGATAATTGTTTCAGAACACTGTTTACAATTACATTTAAAGCACTAACTATGATGAACTATTATCATAGTGATATCAGACTGTAAACCCTTTAACTCCCATGGGTGACCAAGACAGAATTCCTCTTCACAATATTGATACCAAATCAAGGAGATAAGTGATGAGGACCAAGAAAAGTATCAATTAGGGGATTATTAGTTGATCCAATACCAAATTCTCAGATGTAACATCAGAAGACTTGTAGAGTAGACAGTCAGGAGAATTACTCATGACTTCTTGGGAGTTAAAGGGTTAATTATCTGCCACATCATGAGCCTTGACCTATAGTCTTGTATGCTTTGAGGCATTTTGTAAATTTCATTTGTAGATACTGAGGAGGAACCACTGAGGCAAGCCTTCAGTGAATTTGGTGAAATTGAGGGTGTTCGAATTGTTAGGGACAGCAAAACTGGTGCAGGGAAGGGCTTTGGATTCATCCTCTTTAAAGTAAGTAAACCAAGATCAGTCCCACTGTACCTGTCTAGGATACACAACAAACAAAGCCAGCATAATCACAAAATGAACGAGCATTTTGTGTAAAGGTATTTAAGTCAAAGTCCCCTGTACACTTTCACTCAGAATATTTTTTTGTTTTCTTTTCTTTACAGGAAAGAGATGGAGTGATGTTTGCTTTGAGAAGGCATAAAATAGAATTCCAAGGTCGACAGTTACGCATCTTCCCATCCACAGAAAATCCCCATTTAGGTAAAGTCATGATATTTATATCAAGGCAGAGGATGTGTGTGCCCTCTAGGACTAATTCCTGCATCTTACAGAATCCTCACATCCTTAAGGCTTAGAAAAGTTGTTTTTGAGTCTCAGTCTCACACAATTTCCTCTTTGTAACAAAGAAAAGGCTGGGTTTACATATCCAAGTATAGAGCTGGTTGAAGGTTAAATTCAAAAGGCAAATAAATTTATAAAAGACTGGTAGAAATTGAAAAGAATACCCTAAAAAATAGATGAAAAGTAATAAAAAGGAAAAAATTGTGAAAAGTAACAGCAGCTGGGTTAATTAATTTCCTCTCTTCTTCAGGTCAGTTAAAAAGTGTTAAAAAAGGTAAACCTGTGGCTTATGCATTCAGTGGAATCACCTCCAAGAAATCCACAAGATATGATTGTAGAGGGAAAAAATGCAACAGAGGTCCTGCTAAAAGTTATGCAAACAACAAGAAACAAAGCATAAGAAGTTCAAGAGTCCAAAAAAACGGAAATAAGAAGTTGAAATCATCATGGAATGAAAAAGGAACTGAAAGGGTTCCAAGGTCAAATAACATAAGAAAAAAGAAATATGCAACATTGTAAGACTCTTGGAGTAATGTTTATTTTTTTTGTCTAATGTTCCAGAAGGGGAAATTTTACATTCAGTTACACACAAAAAGAAAAAAAAACTAAAAGATAGTGGTTGAACATGTATCCATAGGAATTATTAAAATTGTACATTCCTAATAATAAAAACTATCAGAATAAAATAGTATTCATTACAACCTACCTATTAATTTCCGTGCAATTCTATCAAAATCACTGGAAAAGTTATCTTGCAATAACACCCATTTGCATCAATATTTGTCTAGTACTGATTATTTTCATAAGAAAAAAACAAAGCCAGCAGAAAAAAGCCTGCTCAAGTGTTGCACTCTTATTTCTTTATTGCTTAAGAAAAACAAACTTATTGTGTAGAATCCAGTGGTGGTGATGATGAAAAGCTCGTCCCAAGTACTGCTACAGAAAGCACAAAAAATTTAACAAAATTTGCTGTCAATGCATGATACAAAGATTAATAGGAGGGTTATAAAAAAACCTGCTTCACCTAGCAGCTAAATATTCATTTCTCAGACATCATCTCAGTGGCAGACATCAGTTGACATACCAGCTGCCAGAAAGAGGCATACTTAATAAATATGGTGCTATAAATTGTGCAACTATTTTTCTTGTTTTTCTCAAGTTTTATTGTTTCATGTCTAATTTAAGTACTCATAATTTGTATTCTATTAATGTTGTTACTTAAGAATGTAAATTTTTATTCACTTAAAGTGAGCAGTAGCCTATTTCTGAAGCAGCTATGCTACCCTCATGAGCCCAAACCAATATTTTCAAATTTCAATTTGCTGATTAATAGGGCTAACTTATAGCAAACTTACAGAACAATAGTGTATGCAACAAAAACATTCTGTTTACTGTGATTTTTTTCTGGTTCTCATGTATCTGGGCAAATAGGAAGTGAAGAGAAGCGAATAAGTTTCTAAAGAAACTGTAGTGCTATGCACTGGGGGAGTATAACAAGATAATTTTGGTTTTATCAACTGAGTTGATAATGTAAATTGGCCGCCATAAAGTGTTTCAAGGCTGACGTTTTGAGCTTTAAGCCCTCCATCAGAACAAATAGAATACAAGAAATATAGGAGGTGAAATATCAGGTTATCAGGGCTGGTGTAGTAAGAAGAGCTAGTATACATCTGTACAGCCAGGGTTAGATTTCCTTCAGCCTATCTCTGTTAAATTTTAATGTTTGTATTGTATTGTTTGGTGCTTAAGCTACAAATATTCTGGGTGCCTTGTTTCACCAAAACTGAGATTTCTGAATGTTTTTTATTCTTTCTTAGAATCGTCAGGATCACTTGTAATGCCTAGAACAGACTGTGGACATTATTGACTTAAATATGAAAGTCATCTTAGCATTAATAAACACTACCTGAGCAGTAATGAAAATAAACCCTGAAAAAAGTTAGGCTTGAACTGATTTGAACCCATGACCTCTGCAATACCTATGCAGTGCTCTACCAACTTAGCTAACAAGCCAACTGGGAGCTGGTCATAATGTTGGTTCCAAATAAACCAGTGAAATGATGAATAAATGACTGTGAATATATGAACATCATAAATGTGAACTGCAGATAAAGACATGAATATGAAAGCGATCTTCACAGTAATGAAGACTATCTGAGCAGTGGTGAAGAGGTCATGGGTTCAAATCCCATACAGGCCTGAATTTTTTGAGTCCTCATTTTTACAACTGCTCAGGAAGTGTTCATTACTGCAAAGATCCCTTTCCTATTCACGTCTTTTTTCACAGTTCACATGTATGATTTTCATATATTCACAGTCGTTATTGACTTAATTATCAATTTATAATAGAGATAATGACATGTACTTACAGTAGGAAATCTCTTTGGTTTTGAAGAGTTGGCCTTACCTTAATACAAAATCTCCGCTCTAAAAAGCCATTACTGTAATTGAAATTTCCGGGGCATATATCTACCATAGCAGAAAATTTATGTAAACCGAAAAATAGATTATTATAGTAAATTTTAACTAGATAAACAAGTGTTAGAAAGAGGAGCAACAGCAAAAATTTTTCAAGGAAGTTGCGTCATCGAATCAGCTTAGTCTTCTCAGAGAGGAGGAAACGTCAGAAATCAAGTTTCCCGCGAATTTGAAGCAAGCGGATGTTATTGTGGTACAGGAAGTGGAATTGCACAATGAAATATGTCAACTCCAGCTTCGATTTTCCGTATATGGTAGGGGCTAATTATTCACTGAAGGCCCAGTGGAGGAGGCTCTGAATGAACGGACCAATCAACGCTAAGGACCCCCCATGGCCCCTGGTGAGGAGGGTAAGTCGAGCGTCCTTGTGTTGTCGGCCATCGCAAGTTTTCCTTCAGTTTGAAGTTTTCTTTTTGATTTTTTGGGTGATCGTGGATTCGGATTGCTAAGCCCAGCTTACTGGGGTCTTAGGACCGTACATCAAGATTTGCTATGGTAAGTTTATCAAGCTTGTGTTGTAGTTCCGTTTGAGTGGTAGAATTTTTTGTAAGCCCTTCATTTATTAGATTATAAACTTAAATTTTCTTTGCTTCAATTTAACCTTGGTTTCTAAGCTTTTACTTATTTTACGGGTCTCTTGTCTTCTAAAGATATCACTGATCTGACTCTAGCTAAGCTGTGAAATTTTCTATTCTTACTAAATTATGGTTTACGATCTTCATGTGCTTTAGTGATACACTTGCTTGAGGCATGGAATTTCATTTATACATACAGTAAGGAAGATTCTTTTCAAAGAAGCTTGAACCTCTCTGTCCAATTGCCCATGCTTTGCACTTGTTTACGATACTATGGAATCTTCAGAGACGGTTTTGAACTGTATGTCTTTTCGAAAATATAGATAAACTTCTCAACCTTTTCGATGGTGCTAGACGAGTTGAAGGCGAATAGCACGTTTGCCTTCCTTCTGATCCTTAACTGCTAATGTTTGTCGTGGCAGTTCAACGAACGAATAAGTTTATCTTTAACTTTAGTTGAATCCTACCTTTTGTGATTTGAATTCTAGTTGCTAATACGGAAGAGTAAAGAACGGCGTACGATTTCGTGGTGTTAAGCATGTTCTGTCAATTTTGTAGACTTGGTCAGGTCGTATTGTTTACGAATCTTCATTCGAAGATTTTTAGCATGCTTTACTGCAACCACGTACTCATTGGACACGATTTTAGAGCTATTTAAACTCAACAGACTCTTGTAATTTCAGTAGTGGACATTTTCTTAGTAATGTTTCTTGTTTTCTACGGTAGAAAGTACGAATAACTTTAACTCGTTTGAAGACGTTCTCGTGTGTTGACTTGACAAAAATAACGCCATACTCCTACCATCAGATGATGTTCAGTTGCATTTCCACTCTTCATAAGTTTGCTTCATTTAGCAGTCTTTGCCATTGATTAAGGCAGTACATTTGCTAACCGCTGGTTTTATGTCAAGTCAACATTTAAACTCAGTGAATTTGGAATAAGATCATCTATAATTTAAAGCAAATCTTTGCTCACGTCATTTAGTGCTCCAAACCTCGTTTCTTTTCGTTCTTTACCTTTCGACAGGCACAGTCTTCAGAGGAACCTCCATTCCTAACCGTAGGCACTGATGTCAGTGCCAAGTATCGAGGAGCCTTTTGTGAAGCCAACGTGAAGGTCGTGAAGAAGCTTGTCAAATGCAAGGTTTGTGAAAATTGTGATACTTTTCCTGTACACTGGGAACTCGTTTGGATTCTTGCCTTACAGTCGAGGAAGGTAGTGCTTCTTACACTTGTTGTGACTATAGATCATTGCTCTTTTCCTCTGCAGATTACCTTCGCCAAAACAAACACTTCCTTCACGATTAATGATGATTGCGTTAAAGGTCCTTTGAAGGTAAGTTCTCCATCCTATGTTTATTCAACATTCTTATTTTCATCATGATGATGCGTTAAGGTTATGTTTTTTCCTGAAAGTGGTGTTCTCACACATCTCAACTGTAACTGTGCTTCCCTCTCAAGGTAGGAGCAGTTGTAGAGGCCAAAAATCCCGATGGACAGTACATGGAAGGGATGATAACCAAACTCACCGATGCCAGCATATATACTGTTGGTAAGGAAGCGTTTTTCCTTGTCTAAGTTGATGCAGAAGAGAGGCAAGTTTTATCGTGTTTTTGAAACAAAACAAGGCTTTAATTACGGACATGTTTATTTCTTTTAAGTTTTTGATGATGGTGATGAAAGAACGTTGAGAAGGACTTCTCTGTGTTTGAAAGGAGAACGACATTTTAACGAAAGCGAGGTAGGTGTTGAACGATGGATCTCTGTATTCTTTGGTGAGTGTTTCTCAGTATTGCATCACTTATCACCGAGATGTGTGTACACATGTTGTATCTTCATTCTTCCTTACAGACTCTTGATCATCTTCCCCTTACGGATCCAGAGAATTTTGGTACCCCAGTAGTACAGGTAAGTGATTGTACAAGTAAACTTTGAAGGTGTATACTTAAAAAGTTTAGAAAATAATTGAGCTTGGACTGTTTTTGGTGTGAAGATGGGTACATCTATTTACTTATTACATATCCTGTACAAGGTTCTGTCAGGTGTAGAAGATATACTAGTGCACTCTTAAAGGTGGCCAGTGATCACATTTTTGCTGATTCTTGGAAAGGTTCCTCTTACTGAAATTGTACTGAATAGGGTTTTTTGTGGAATCTTTTAATTTAGTTGTGGTTGGAATTGTGCAGTTTGAGCACTTTTAAAGGACCTGAAAAAAATATTACTCACTGTCTTTAAGTCATATTGCTACTCTCAGATGCATAGAAGTGGAGTTTGGAAAAAATGTAATTTGTTGTGCTGCAGAATTAGGCGGAAAATGAACTTTGCAAGTTTTGATGAACTCTGCAAAAGTTATTTTGCCTTTTAATTGAACAAAATGCATTGAACAAATTTAGTGGTCAGGTGATGGAAACAAATTGTTATTCCATAGTTTAAGTGGAAGAAACTTATCAGAATGGATTCTAGATGAGATCATTTTTTGTGTGTGTGTTTCAAGATATATTGATACAAGCTTGATGCTGTGCAAGATATATTGCATAGCCAGTAATTGGCGTTATTGCAGTGTTGACCACTTTGGTGGTCGTCAGCTGTCTTCTCCTAAAAGGAATGATTTTGGCAATTGTGTTTTCATGTTGACATCAGATACATCATTGCATTGAGGGGCAAAAGTTGCGGGTTGGAGTAACATTCATCCATGTGGGGTATTGCTATCATGCTCCCTCACTCTTATTCATAGTTGGTGTAGTGGGTTGGATGTGTGCCCTTTTCTTTATCCATCCTTGCAACTTGTTGCTCTCTTCCTCCAGTCTCTCACTTGCTTCATAATCGATGATGTGGTTGTTTTTGCACATATTGTTTGTCCTGAATGATTTGTTGATCTGGTGAAATTTTTGGCAAGGATATTATTTTGCCTCATTTCATTGTCAATTTATCCAAACCGTCTAGTTTGGGGGGGGGGATGAATTACCTTTGTTTGCCTATGATAAAAGTTGGTTTCTCTGAAGGGCGCAGAAATATTTTCTTGTTCCTTCTTGAGATATAATGCATTTAAAACATGAACTAAGATACTTTCTTGGAATTATTTCCTTCCTTTGCTAATATTAACTTATATACAGTCCTCTTAAAAAGAGTTGTAATGAAAGTTTAGAGTATGATTTCAGCTGGACCTGATTTGCTTTTTGTTGAAGTTTAAAGTGAAGAGTGTCATGTATTTTGATTTAATCAATGAAACTTCTCTCATGTGATATCTTTTTATTTTCTTATAAGTTGTCTTGGTTGAGTTTTAATGTATGTAATAGATAATCTTTTGGTTCAACCTCTTTTGTATCACATGGCATGCACAATTCTTGTTGCATGGCTAAAAAAAATAATTGTGTTTGTTATATATTACTACCCAACCCACCAGTGAATCAACATGTTTTAGAAGTGGGTTTGATTACATTATGGAGGCTAGATGTTTTCTCTATCAATGCATCTATGGCATAATTTTGATTGTCATAGCCTTCATTAGTGAAGTTTTGAGGTCTTTTTTGTTTGATTTCAGTTATATGAAGTGACCATGGCCGAGTAAATAGTTCTCTTGTTTTAAAATAATAATTCTTCAATGGATTGTAGCTTCATTGCTTTTTGTTTGTGTCCTTGAAATTGGTATATTAAATGCCAGCTATTTATAAACAAGTTATTCTCATTTTTTTAGTGGTTAGGGGTTAACGTTACCATAGCTACTGCAGCAGCTCTCAAGAACACCCTTTTTTTTTTTCTTTTATTGGGTATATCTTGAATGTGACTTCTCTGCTCTCCCCTTTCTCTTCCCCCCTCTTCTCCCCCCTCTTCCCCCCCCCCCCCCCCAATTTGTTAACTGTAATGCCAGGTTTACCAATTTAGATCCTTAT